CCCCTCAACACAGCACAGCAGGGAACACTACCCTGTGATCAGAGGCTCCTCACTCCTACAGACCTGCACTGGCCTCCTACCCTGCACATCCTTCCCCGGACTGAAGGGCCCCTTTATGCCCAGAGCCCCACTGACCAGAAGCATGTCCAGCAAGAGAAGGCAGTGCTGTTGTCTATATAACCCTGAGCCCTTACACATAGTGGCTATGTGGGTTACACAGCTGAGCTTTGGAATCATATATTTGTTATTCTGAATTATGATGCCGCTACTTTCGAGGTAACCTTAGGCAAGGAACTGACCTTCTCTGAGTCTGGGTTTTCTCATCCAGAAATGGTAATAAGTATAGTATCTAGCAGAGTTTTAGTAAGGATCCAAATAATGTATGCAAAATGCCTAGCACAGTGCCTGGCACATAAAAATACTCATTAATGACAGCTATTAGTATTACTAGGTTCTCAATATGGCTTTGTGGAAGCTCTTGAGCTTCTGCCATCTGGGTCTTGCCTGTCTCATTCAGCCTGTGCATTCCGGTACCCCACACTATGCTTCACACATAATTAGAGCTCCATAAAATTCAAAGTATTTAATAAAATGACTGAATTAACAGGCCTCAATTTTTTTGTGGCTGTAAAGTGAGAAGGATAGCATAGGAAATGCAGAGCACTCCTGGATTTCCTGGACAGAGTAGGAACCCAGGAGAGCCCAGGAGCATCCTTTTCATGATGCCTCCGAAGGGGCCTGCTCTGTCTTCTGCTGCTGGTAGGCATCCTAAAAGCCAGAGACATTCTAAGGGGCAGGTATTACTGGGCTAGTGAGGAAGAAAAGGGATGCTTGTTTCTGTATGGGTCCTTGGTGTCGCTGGGGCCTGCCTGATAGAGTGCTCACTCGCTGCCATTCTTCTTGGCAGAAGGTTAAGGCTGCTCTGAGCATCACCTAGGAGCTGGAAACTGAGATGGCTGCACTGCCAACCCTCTGCCCAGAAAGATGCTCACCCCAACCCCAGAAGGAGATAATACTATCCCAAGTTGGGACAGAAGCATGCACCCATACCAGCCTTTCTTTCCACCCTTGGCTCCACCTGGCATGACTCCACTGTCCTCCACCGCATAGGTGCTAGTGGCATTGCCAGTGAGGAATCCATGACTAGGAGGAGTCAGGGGTGAGGGGAAGGGCAGCCCACTGGGTGGTAGGAAAGGCAGAGGGACTACAGGGTCCCTTTCCAGGTAAATGACATATCAGAACAGAATGCTGGGAAGCTGGCTGTGTCTTCCTTATGGCAAATGCATTCTCCCTGAGCCCTGAGATCGGGACTACCATGAGTATGAGATCACAGGGCACTGCAGTAGAGGTTGTTCAGGTATTTACTCACCAGGTAGGCTTTTGGCAGCCCTTCACTTGTCTGCATCAGGGAGATGGAAAATCTGGCACTTGGAGGATCAAAGGGTGATCAAACAGCAGGGAGCCCCCAGTCCATGAAGGGCAGCTCAACATGGCAAGTACTGGAAGAGCAGAGCAGAAGTCATGGCTCTCTTGCCCTTCCCCACCCAGGTCTCCTTAAGATGAATGAAAAACATGTAACACCGTGTGTCACAACTGTCTCTGGGTGCAAGCTTTGTGTCTGCTTCTCCTCCAGAATGGGAGCTCATGGGGCAAGAGCTAGTTGTTCTTTCTGGCTCGCTGTTGGACCATAGTGCCTGTGATGTTGGAGATACAGTGCTGGTGTGAAAGAAGAGGATGGAAGAGACATGGAGGCAGACAGAAGCCATGTCTGAGTCCCTGGAAAACCTGAACTGAGATCACTGGAGATGGCCAGGAGGATGGGCCGAGGCTGAGGACCTTCAGGCTCTAGGGTAATTTCGAAGGACTGTGAAAATGAGCATCTTTGGTCAACACCACTGAGGAAGGAAACTCCCTCCCTTTTGGCCAACTGCAAGTTTGTGTCCCTTCCAATAAGGCAGGCAGGCAGGCAAGAATAGAAGGACTGTCCTTTCCCCTTTCTCCACATCCAGCCTGGTTACTGGCTGGCCTCTCTGTGGGATGGCTAATAAGACCTTGGGTGAGGTGAACTGTCGCCAGGCATGAAGGGCCTATTGAGAACCACCTTCCTTGACTACTCCAGCACCTCCTATCCCCAGGACCTGAAAGAGCCCCACTAACCCTCTCTGGGGCTGCACCTCCAGTTCCAAGCAGATGTGAAGGTGGAGGAAAGGAGAAAGCAGCTCTCCTGGATACCAGCGCCAAGCTTAAGCAGCTGACACAACCAGCAGCAAGGGCAGAAGGATTTCAAAGGCCATCCAAGTCCATTGTCCCTAAACAAAATATTGCTTTTCTGGATGAAAGGGAAACTCCCAGGGTTACCAGGGCCTGAGCATTGATCACAGAGTGCAGCATCACTCTTGGCTAGCTTGTGCACTGTCACTCAGTCTGATTACAGGGTAAGTGTGGAGGGGTGAGCCTGAAGACCCATGTCTCTTCCCAAGAAGGGTCACATTCATACGATTGAAGGCCTGTGCTGCCAAGGGCTGCCCAGAAACTAGGCCTTTGGGGATTGGGGCATAACACCGTATGCTCTAAAATCATTGCCATTGATCCAAAGACTGATAGACGGTTGACTTGTCGGGTGTGATCTAGGTTGTATTCTAAGGGACAGGGTCTGGTGGTGCTGCCCCTCTCTCTTTTCCGTGGGTGGGTCAGGGAGATGGGGGGTTGACTGTACAAGAAGGGGCCTTTTACTCCCACCCCATGCAAAGCCTTGCAAAACAACCTGTAGTCATTCAGCTTGTCCTCTGGGCCCCTTCTTCTGGCCGGCTGGGTCTGCCCCAAGATGCGATTCCAGCTCCTCGTCTCTGCTCACCACACTAAGAAGCAAAACCCAAGAGCTCCCTCACGGCCGGGATCTGAGAGAAGCTGGGCGCGGCAGCTAGGGTGATTCCCACCCTGGACCCCTGGAAAGCCCCAAGCAGACTCTGGGGATACGGGTAGGCTGCCCCCTACCCGCGCCTCTGGAAGAACGGCCGAAGAACATCTCTGGCGCTGGCGTTGGGCCAGGAGCTTGCATCCTTTGAAAAGGGAACTCGGCGACTACGGTATCATCTACCCGGGAGAAACGCAGCCGCCGCAATCAGTCAGCCCCTTTCGGTTCCAGCACTAGCTTGTATGAGGGAGAAAAAATAAACGTGAAACAGAGAACGGAAACGCTAGGTCTGCCCCTGCCGGAGTCTCATTAAGCAGTCGCGCGCGCCCCCAGGCTGGGAATGCGGAATGGACACGTGGACAGACTAGGGGGAGCTGGGGGGGGGGGTCTCCGTGGCGCGCGAGCCGTGGGCTGCGCGCTCTAGGGCCACGTGATCACGGGGAATCTGGGAGGGGAGGGGAGGGAAAAAGAGGGGAAGGGAGGGGGGAGCGAGCGCGCCAAGCCCCGAGCCCGCTCCTGCCCGGGTGGGCGCTGCATTCCGGACCCGAGAGGAAGGCGGTGAACGCGAGTGTGTGTCTCTCGAGTCATTTACGGCGGAGCAGCCGGCGCGAATGCCGAGGAGGTGGCGACGGCGACTGCTTCGTGCAACTGTGCCTCCCCCCGCCCCCGCCTCCTCTTCCTTTTTGCTCCTTGATTTTTCTACCCCCTCACACGTCCATGGGGAGCCGGCCCCCCTACCGGCATCTCCTCTCCACTCGGCCCAGTAGGCACCAGCTGCCGCCTCCCCAACCGGGGGCTGAGCAGGTGCTGGGTGCCCTGGCCGCGGGCTCTGCGCCCGCCTCTCACCACCCGCAGCCCGAACTGGCGCGGCGATCCGCTCGCCCAAACTGACTGGAGAAAGCTAGAGCCGATGCCCTGCCGCACCCACCGAGACGGTGGTGGAGCCAGCGTCCAGGGCCAGGGCGGGGGCGCAGGGAGGAGGGGGCGTCGGAGACACTGAACCCCGGAAAAGTTCAAGGTTTGTGCAGGTCCCCCAGGGAAGGCGAGGAGCGAGGCGGGGCAGCGCGCCCCTCTGCTGAGACCGCGAGACCTGAGAGAAAGAGGGGTGGCCCGGCGCTGTTGCGGGCTGACTGAGCCTTCCTTCATCCTGCAGCGTTGATGGGCTGGAGCCTGAGGTCCACGCTCGGAGCAGGAGGGACCCGGGGCCCGGTGAATTAGCTGCTTTTCCCGCTCCCTCGTTTCTCCAAGCTCTGTCTCCATGGGGCAGCCGGTTCCAGCAGCGCCATCCTCGCGCCAGTCGCGGAGCCGCCGCCGGGCCAGGAGGCGCGGAGCCGGCCAGTGCTGAGCACCGGCCCTGGCAGAGACGAGGGAGCGCGCTGGAGTCCAAGAGCGAGCTCCGCGAGGGGACAGATATCAGGACGCCCACCTCGAGCTTTTCAACTGGGCGTCGCCTAGGGTGGCGGCGACCCGCGTTACCCGTGTCAGCATTACACAGAAACTTTTCCTTCTCCAGATGGATTAAAGTTGCCTGGATTTTCTCTTTCTTTGTGAAAGAAATCATTCATTTGCACCTGACCTGGGATTTTTATGTCGGGGCTGCTGCAGGGCTCTTGGAAGACGAAAGCCGCGCTCTCCATGTGTGGTTACCGCCGAAACCAGGCAAATTGGGGCTTGCTTTGGAAACCTGCACCCTTGAGCGAGTTCGGATTCGAGCTGGGCCGGGAAGCCAGACGATCCCACACTTCGCTCTAGGCAGCCCGGGGAACGCCAGCGGCCACCGGGCCCGGGGACCGCACGTGCGGCTCCCCCCTGGCCTCACAGATCCTGCAGGGGGCACCAGCCCAGTGAGGTGGAGGCTCCTCCCGCCCGGAGCTGCGCCCCCACCAGCTCTGAGGGTGTAGCCCGTGGCGCCTGGGACGCCCCTTCCCCGCAAAGTGTCCCCGAATTGTGCTCCCTGGACCCCGAAGTCTCGGCCGAGACAGATGGGCGCCACGGCCACGCTGAGCTGGATGTAATCAAGCCCAGCTTGGGGACAAGTCGTCGTCGACTGTTGCCCCTAGGACTCCTCTCCCCCCACCTCGCCATGGCCCCAGAGATGTCGGGCCGTGGTGGCGCCGCCCTGCTCTGCCTCTCGGCGCTGCTCGCCCACGGTAAGTGTCGAGGCGCAGACTCCGGGGTGCAGATGGGGCGGGCGCCCCTGGAGGGGGTACGGGGAGGATCACAGAAGGAAGAAGCCCCATCCCCACCCCTTCTGGACTCTCCTGCGGGCTCTCTGCTCGCTTTGCAGCTCGGGTTACCCCGGCCCTTGAGCCCTCCAGCGGGAACTAAGGCTGGAGTCCGCCAAAGGGACCGAGTCGGGCCCCAGAACAGGGTGGGGGAGGGGGCTATCCAATCTTCTCGGGGTGGGAAGAAAGGTCCAAACCCCTAACGCGGGGGCGTGTCCCCTTCAGAAATCTAAAAATCGGCGGGATCGCCCCGGGGCGCCCCGCCGGCTGTGTCTTTAGCAGCCCGGGGGGCCAGGGGCTGTCGGGTTAGCGTCTTCCCGGTCCTGGCGCGCAGGCCGGTGCCGGGCCGCGTCGCCCGCTGCCTGGCTTCCTGCGGCGATGCTCGGGAAGGGAAGTGGAATGACAGTGGCCGGGAGCCGCGGCTGCCCAACCACCCGCCGCCCGCGGTCCTGTGAGCTGCATCTAAATGGCCGGCTTAGCAAGCCCGAGGGCGGGGGTCTGGGCAGCAGCGCGGGCCTGGCCACCGGCGGGCGGGCGGGCGGACGGCTCGCGGAGGGAGCGGGCTCCGCGCTCTCGCGGTCTGCAATCTGTTGCGTCTGCTCCCCAGGCTCGCCCGGGGCTCCGCGGTAAAGGGGTGGAACAGGGAGTGGCGCGAGCTGGCACGCGTTGGCAGTGGGACAGCCGGGGTATGGATGAGGGACAGAGGGTCTCTGAGCAAACCCTTCCCCCAGTGGGAACTCAGAGCACACTGGAGGAGGCTGCAGCGGGTCTTCTGCAAGCTGGAGACGCTCCAGGAGGCGAGGGACGCTGACCGAGAGGGAGGGCTGTGGCTGCTGGGTGCAGGGGGGAGAAGCGCAGCCCTCCTTTCCCTCCTGGCGTGTAAGCAGCAGACCTGGAACACATTTCTTCAACTGTGGGGTGAGGGGTGCGTCGATGCCCTACGCTGAGGGGTGAGGCGCGGACAGAATGGAGCCGGCCTCCGTGCAGAAGGCAGTGCCCGCTCTACCTTGGTGGAGGACTCTGGATGCGTCGTGCTTAGCTTCTCCCCAGATATGCTGGTCCGTATGCTCCTGTCCAAGCATGCCAGGAGCTCTGGAGGTCTCTAACCAGGGCCCAAGTGGGCTAACCGGGAACATTCTCAAGGTTGAAAGAAGAAAAAGCAGAATGGACTCTAGAATAGTACGGACCTGGTGCTAGAGGAGGAGATGGCATCAACCCACCCTGCTGAAGGCTGGGGTGACCCCAGGGGCCATAACAGTTCGCTAGAGACAGCTAACCTCAGTTCTTTAAGGAGCAATAGGCAGGCCAGAACCCCAGCAGGAGGTAGGGTGGGGGAAGCAAGGAATGCAAGAGGAACCAGAAATCTCCAGCAAGGTGCAAGACTGAGAACAGGGGAGGGCTTGGGTGGGCTGCCTGTTTGTTTGCACGTTGGAGCTGCAGTGGCAGCTTTGTGACTCTGTCTAGGAGGCAAGGAGTAAAGTGTTCAGCAGGAGGAAGCCAGAAGCTCAGGCTGGGGTCTAGGCATGGCTCTCACTCCTCTTGCATTTTGCCATCAGAGCTCTTGGTTCCCAGACCCAGCCGTGGCCTCTGCACTGCCCAAAGGCTGTATGTTGCTAGGTCTCTGCTGCCCCATCCCTCAGTCTGATGTTAAGCGTTCCTTCTCCCCTTCAGTACCTTGTGTGCTTCTTAAGCCCTAATTCCAATGGCCTTTGTGTTCTGTCTGCAGGTCCCTGTGAGTGTTGCTCTGTCTTGAGGCACCAGGGTGTTCTGTGCCAGGTGGTCCTGGGCCAGTAGGACAGAGCCATAGCCTTGTATTTCTGTCTGTCCACACAGCCAGTGCCAGCACGATGCTAGCATGCAATGCTCAGGGCCCCACTGCATGGAGAGGGTCCTCAATGAGCAAACAGGCATCCCCCTTGCAGGCTCTTCAACTCCCTTTCCAAGTTCCTTCGCAGAGACCTCAAGTCTTTTTCATCTCACGGCTCAATCTCCTCTTCCTTAGGGAAGGATGCCAGCAGATGCTTAAAACTGCCCCCAGATGAGTAAGGCCAGAAAAACAGAAATCAACTTCCTTAAGAACAACGCAGAACAAAACTCACGTCCCCTGGACCATCCTCCTCCAGGGCTTCCTGCCACTTCTTCTTCTGTTAGGAAAAAGGTTCATGGCCTTAATCTCAAGTTAAGCCAACTCTTGATGGATGTACTGGGCTTTTCCAAGACACTGGGGGTGGGGGGCAACTGCAGTTTACCATGCTTGGCAGGCTGCTAAGACCACAGGATTCTGACCACATAGCCAGCAGGAAGACCAAGTAGCCTGGATTTGTCTGACTCTGGCGCCACTGGGCAGGGTGACCTTGGACTGCCTGCCTCAGATTCCCCCACTTCCACAGGGAGTATGGTCTCTGGCCCATTTTTTTCCTCCCTTTCTGCCAGGACTTCTGGGCAGAGACCACATATGAATAGAGCTCCACTGCCTTTCAGGGCCTGCTGAGCCCATGGGCCCGCAGTATGGTGTGTGTGGCTGCCCCCTATATTGTTCCCCCTCTCAAGACTCTGTCCAGAGAACATCTGGGATGACCATTTCCTTGTCTCTGTTTTTGGGAGGGCTCTTCTCCACTTTTACTTTGAATGGGAGTTTAAGGGCTCAAGGTGGTGGGTCAATCTGTTGGAGAGCTGATTACATTGGCTCCCTTACTTGGTAACTTTTGCTGGCTCCCTATTGCTTCTTGGATCAAGGATACAGTCTTTGCCTGGGCATCTAAGGTCCTTTATGGTTTTGTCCTAATCGGCATCCTCCCTCCTATAGTGTAGCCCTTGTCCATCCTCTCATGGGCCTCGTGAGTCATCTCTCTTCTTACTCTCCTACCTTTGTGCTTCAGCACCCACCAGCCCCTCCATCTAGAACATCCTTCCTCCAGAAATCCTTGCATACCCTCAAAGCCCAGCTCAAACCTCACTACCTCCGTGGAGACTTCCCAGATTCCACCCGGCGCTTTAGTGGGCCTTCTACACACACACCAGGACTTGAGCACTCTCTGGCGCTATCTAGGCACTTCATACTGTCTTTCTGGCACAGCTGCCAGGCTGGCATGCTCACCTGGGCAGGGTGTGGGCAGGCGTGCTTGGCTGAGCTGCCCTCAAGATCTGCTGGTACTTGCTTTTTAGGGCAAGAGCCTTGTCTGCTAGGTTTTTGCCTCATCCTCCAGGGTTTCACTCATGTAGGTGCTCAGAAGAAATGGATGGAGCCCCAGGGTGTAGGGCAGAGGGATGAGAGATGGAAGGAGACAGGCAGAGACACCAGAAGAGGCAGGAGGGAGGAGCAGGCCCTTGCCATGCCCCTTGAATGGCTCATGTAAGACCACTCTCAGTTGACCCATGAAGACATGGTCTCCCAGGATATGAATGTAGTGTCGCACAATGCTCTGAATGCATGAAATCCAGCTTGTCCCCTAGAAGTCCCCCTTCAGGTTATGTCCATCCTTATTATGCCCCTGATGACCCACCCCAGGCTGGGCCCCTTCGGAAGCCCAGGGGAACGGGGTATGCATCAGGCCTTGATGCCTTGGCTGCTAGGATTGTGCCTGCCTTCCTTCTCTCCCTCCATCTTCTGTCTGACCACATGCAGCCGTATGCCACTACACAGCTTTGTTAATGTTTAAGACCAGTAGGTGGGGATGTGTTATAAACTTGGTGGCAGAAAATGAGCTTTATTGGAATCCATTCTGAGGATGGCTAGGTGCTGGGCAGTGGGAGGCGCAGCAGAGTGGCTACCAGGGCTGGGCCCCATGTCTTATCAGCCCTGCTGGGGCCTGTCTGGACATGTAGGGCGTGAGTCCAAGGCTGCCATAGAAACTGAGACCCTACAAGGTACCACCTCCCACTAGCAGGGCCTGGCCTCTTTCTGGTAGGTCTCACTTTGTTGCCCTTTATGTCAAAATGTACACACCACTAAAAGAAAGATCACATAAACCACCCAATGCAAGCTTTGTGTAGGATGAGTAAGTGGACCCTCAGATGAAAGGGCTGGCCAAGGTGACTCCACAAGCTAGCTCTGGAATTGGGGCTAGCCTCGGAGCCTAGGTTTATTCCTAGAGTGGCAGCCTGGCCTGGACCACTAGGCAGGTTTTACTTCCACTACCTCTCTGTCTGCAGCCTCTTGCAGAGAGATCCTTCTAGCCTTGGGTTAGCCTCTGGTCCTAGCAATCTAGATAATCAACTGGTAGCAGCTTGTTCATATACCTGAGCAGGCACTACAAAAGAAATGCGCGACAGACAGCTCAAGGCCTCATCCCCAGCTTCATGTCTGGAGCCCTATGTCCCCTTGCTAAGACAGCCAAGACCCCAGACCTGTGACATCCGTAGCAGTTTGACACCTCATTCCTCAGAATGTAGGACATCTGGATTCAAATTCTGATTTTCATCAGTTTGCTGCATAGCCCCAGGAATTCTGCCTTATCCCTGGATTTGGTTCATATGCTCTGCCAGACGAAAGAGGATGTGCTGTCCCAGCACCATCCACCTCTCCAAGATGGTGTTGGAGGGAGAAACCCTGGCACTTCACACCCTCCCCGCCCTCTCCCTCGGGGCCTCCGTGGAAGCTAACAAGTGGATGTATTCTCCTCCCCAGCCCTCCCCAGGGTCTTCCATAGCCCTTCCCTGCCCGTGCTCACACGGAATTTTAATAAGAAATTAATGAACCAGTGTGTGCATGTATTTTTTTAAAGAAAATAAATGTCTTTTCCTATTTTCCTTCTGTGTCTTTTTAAATGTAAAAGGAAGTGGGCCTCTTTATTATCAGTTCGGCTGGCTCTGCCATCTCCAGCAGTCCCCAGGGGGAGGGGGGACAGGGATCATGGGACACACCAGTGTAGACACCACCAGTCCCTGTGAGCTGCCCCAGCACCCCAAGGCTGAGACTCTAGAAG